GGTTGTTTTCATGTGGCTGTCTTTTCAACATAGACAAGAATAAAGCACATCATTCAGGCCACATTCAGGACCAGTGGATTTAGCACTAGGAGGAGCCAGATTATCTGTCCCAGGTACTACTGTCAGGACATAATGAACGTTTTAGCAAATATGACAAAAAGTTATTTTTATACTACTGCAGCTTTAAGAAAGAGCACATAACATCAAAAGACAGGTAGAGTTGGTCGTCCGTATTGGCCGATATGCAAAGTTCAGGAATCAGAATCATGAAGCAAAATATGATTTCAGTATCTGTTTTTACTGACCCAGGACAGCGCTAACTACCACAATCCTGCATCACTATCACTCGGAACATTAATTCCCTAAACTTTAAAAATAAACTCACTACATTGTAGGAATTATTCTTGGCACACATAGGCGAGTGCAAAGTAACAAAAAAGATAACTGTCTGAACAAGAAAGGTCTTTCGTGTAGTCTTCGAAGGTCTCTTAGAAAAGAACTTTCTTGGTTTGCATCAGCCTGACGGCATTTTTCCCCCCATCTTATTAGGAGTTAAGAACGACTGCATACCACACAGCAGTAGTGTGAAGTAACCAAGTACAATCAGAAGTAAAATTTTGAGGTACTTGAGTATTGAGTACTCTTGAGTATTTCCATTTTATGCAACTATGTAAACATTGTACTTTTCACTAAAATTATTTGTGCAGGGCAGCTGACAAATTTATGAAATACAATACATTGCTAAAGAACTTTGGGTGACCTCTTACAAAAACACAGGGTCAGATTTGGACCCCATTGTCATGTTTTAGATGTATATGGATTGCTACCAGTTCCACAGGCTTTCAACTTATCCAATATTGGGGAAAATTTTATCAAAGTAGTACTTTTTTAGATACTTACAGAAGTACATTTCGCTGATAATGCTGTTATTATTATTTTTTACTTAAGTGGGGTTTTGACCTTAATTTGTAACAAAGAGTATTTACTGTAAGTCAAAGATCTGAATACACCGGTGAGTTTGCTCAGTGACTAAGAGTTCTGGGAGATAGTGAAGCAGGACTTTGATACGTATTATGCCAGTCCTAGATCAGGGATAAGAAGTTGCAAGAAAAGATTCTGAACAAATCTGTGAAAAAAGGTTGTTGAAAAGCACAAAAAACAAACAACAAAAAAAACGTTACATGGTCAATCATAATTGTTTTTGTTTGGAAGAATATCACATCTGTATCTGTATCTGTCATCCACAGTGATTCAATTTTATATTCAAATTAAGCAAGTCCAAGCCCCATGAATACTTTATGCAGGCAGTACATTTCAAATGTAGCTACAATGCGGAAAACTTTAGCAATCTAAAACATGAAAGGCAAAAGTGTCGGTCCAGAATTCATATTTGTCGATGAACACAACGTATAAATCTTAGGAGCAGGTTAAGTTTCTTCTTTACTATCTCTAGCTGCATCCCATTTCAGGAGCCTCCAATGTCAAAGGTTGCGGCCTCCAAAGGACTGAAGGTTCCTAAGCTGAACCTGCAAGTTCCTGTCCACTCCAAAACCTAGTGCACAGTGGCTTTTGGGACACTTGAAGGGAAGATTTCCCATGCTTTATGTGGATGTCCACTGAAACAGTAAGTTTCTCAGTGCGGGCTATACTGACCGAGAAAGCTCTATTCTCCTGTTCGGAGTGCCTATTTGTTCCAGGATGCCCACGCTCAGTGAGCAAGCTAGATTAGCCGCTGGGTGCTAATCAAAGCTACAAAAATTTGCCAGGAAAATTAATTACTGCAGTTTGACCATTTCCGTGCGGAAACGGCCTGTAGTTTCCTTGACACTAACTACATCATTGTATATGTCCAATGACAGCACTGGTGGTGGAACACATCTTGCTAATATTTCTTGGTCAATATAGCATATAGCATAGAACTGAAGAACAAAGAATTTAACATTTCAATTGGCTAATTTACCATCAACACTGCCTGGACATCTACATAAAAATAAAATTTCCCTTTAAGACCCCATAGGATACTTGTCGGTGTCAGTGGGGCTGCAGTTCAAAACCCTTTTTACAGCCTTGATTAGCTGTTTTGTATTACCCGTTTTAAGCCCAACTGACCCTTCTTAAGTCCCTCTTAGCACAAAGCATATCTAAGTACAGGAAAGGAGGAAGTTGACTTAGGAAGTTTAAATTATTAGGGCTGTCACTACAAAAAAAAAAGAAAATGGAAAAAAATTACAGCTAATTAATTAGAAATGATTCAAATACAACCTAACCTTAAACTACACTCCATCAATTGAGTGTCAAGCTAACATTACTAGGCAGTTGCATTTTTAAAGGGCAAGACAAAGTCCTACTTCTACCAACAATTTCCTTTTTTTTTTCATTTTTTTTTTCAGAAATGGTGTCAAATCTAGAGTTCTTCCACACATTGTTTTTAAGACTGCTTGACTGGTGTCATGATTATCTTCCATGATAGCTCGCTAGTTTACTCCATTTTGTGTTAATGAAAAGGTCCATAGGGATGGGACGATAATTGGGCTAATCGTGATGGGATACTATTTCAATTCCAGTATGTTTTAGTGCCAAGTTAAGAGTCTGAAGTATATTTTGGTGATTATTGGGATATTGTGAATCGCACTTTATATAAAATTATCATATTGTGCCATGTCTAGTCATAGTCTAGTTTACTTTTTTCCATCCAACGCTGCCTGCTGTAGTACAATACATGGCCTGTTGCATGTACACAGATAATTTTTGTACAAATAAAAATGTAATATTTAATTTGTTTCCTTTAAATACAAACAGTAGTTTAAATTGAAAAGGGAAAAAAAGTGACAGCCCCAGTTCACAGGAATTCACAAACTGGTGTACAAGTAGATTAGGCATGTTAAAAATAAGTGATGACACGGTACTGTGGTCTATGATTGGCCAAAAGTACAGGAAACAAGTTTGAGTGGATTTTTCCTTTTTAGTTCCCAATGAAGGGCTGGGGAAGGTTTGTCTTGTAATTCCAAACTAACACAACGCAGGAGTAAAAAAAAAAAAAAGAGGCTGGGAGCATCACTCGGGTGACAAAGTAGTCAGAAGAGAACGAAACCGAGCATCAGTTCATCATTTGAGCCGTGATTTGGATGTGGTAGTTTGACTTACAATTCATTTCCAAACATCTGTTTAAGGCGGGAACGTCCGTGTACGTGACGTCCAGACATTTTGGGCCTAAAATGCAGAGATTCTTTTTACAGTGTATTTGTCAAGACGATGACCTGCAGGCACATTTTGTCTCCCCTCCCATAGCCCCTTATTCTCTTTTTAAATAGGTTTGTATAATACCAGCAATTGAAACAGCAGCAAAGCCTGAACCACAAGTTAGTCCTCTTAACATTACGGCATCATATATACACTTTTTTTTTCTCCATCTTTCACTCCCTTTCACACTCTGACATGAGGTAAAGTATGGCGCCCAAGTGCAATGCTCAATTGTGCTACATGTACAAAAAGAAATGAAAAAAAAAAAAGTACGAGAAAACATTGTCCGCTCTTAATAACACAGGACTACCTCAGCTCCAGCATTCCCCCCCCACACACACCACCTTATTAAAAACAAAAAAAGAAAGAAAGAAAAACATACAAGTTTGTTGGATATTGATGCCACTTGCAGCTGACAAGATTATTTGTGATCCTCATTTTTTTTTTTTTTTATCAGTCACAGATAAAAATAGAGCAGGCATGGCACCGTTATGAGTGATTTCACATTCTTTTCAGTAATCTCCCTCTCTTCCCTCCCGGAGACTTACAGATAATTAGTGTGTTGAGCCAGAGGAAAAGTCGAAATGGCTGTGTGTCTGTGTGTGTGTG